TTCTGTTGGAGTCGATGAGTCTTGACTTCATCTTTGGGCTTCTCGCCGACGCACACGGCAACACCGGAATTTTGGTGTTCGTGTGTCGGCTGAGCAAGATGGTACATCTTGCTCCAGTTCCCGTCACTGTGACGGGCGAACAAACCGCAAGGTTGTTCGTCGATGGCGTGTTCCGCTATCACGGTCTCCCGGAGACGATTGTCTCGGACCGAGACCCGCGGTTCACTGCTGCGTTTTGGAAAACGCTGTTCCCTTTACTGGGAACTCGTCTGCAGATGTCCACTGCGGATCATCCGCAGACAGACGGCCAAACAGAGCGCGTCAATCGAGTGCTCGAGGACACTCTGCGCAGTGTGTGCGCGGCAGCGCCACGTACGTGGTCGACGCAGCTTCCAGTTGTTGAGTTTGCGCTCAACAACGCGGTGCACGCGTCCACGGGGTTCACGCCGTTCTACTTGAACGGCTTCCGCCACCCCAGAGTGCCTCTCACTCTTCGAGGAAACACTGACTCCTCTATTCTAAGTGGGGGAGAGGCTCGGAAAGCCCTTTCCTCCCAGGTCTCGGATGTGAGGCCAGTTTCGCTGCGGAAACAGGTGGAATCCTTTATGGATACCAAGCTGAACATTGTCAGCAGGGTCCGCGATGCCATGGCAGCGGCCCAGGATAGACAAAAGGAGTACTCAGACAAACATGGAAGAGGAAACTTAAGTGTATTTAAAGTGGGGGACTTAGTGCTATTAGACACGAGGAACCTACCGCTAGACACTGTCAGCTCTGTCGGCAGCAACAAGCTGAAGCACCGCTTCATCGGACCTTTTGCAGTCCTGGCCAGACATGGTGCGTCGTACACCATCGACCTTCCAAAGTCAATGACGACGCACCCGACGTTCTATGTCGGACGTCTTAAGCGGTACTTTGACCCGCAGGGGGTTGCTGACTCGCAGACCCCCCTTGACCCAGCTCCTCGAAGCGAGGGCCGGTCACAGTCGTCGACGAGGGCGTCGGAGCAGGCACCCAAGCCTCGGTCGGGACGGCAAGGCTGCGGTCAAGACCGTACGCCGGAGGGGCTCCATACGAACGGACCCCGGCGCCATACGCCGAGTACGCTGAGTACGCCGGGTACGCACCATACGCGTACGTCTGGGAGTGTGCCGCAGGCGGCTCCGGACGTGGCAACAAAGCCTCGATCCGTCGGATCATGCGAAAGGCCTCGTCCAGATCGGACGAAGAGGCCCGGCGGTCCACCCGCAGGTGCAGGCTCGCGACCTCTCGCTCCACCAGGTCCAGGCGACCCGCAAGACGAGCGAGCTCGCCCTGATTCCCGGTCTGGGCGGCAGCATTACCGCCAGTCCCAAGGCCAAGTGCAATCTCAAGCACGAGAGACGTTGACGGAGGCGGTCAACCTCAGGGTCCCGTGTCGGACCCGCAGTCGGAGCACTCGAACGAGAGTGGCTCTCGGGAGGCGCCGAGTACTCGTACTCGTACGAGGGCACCTCCGCCCCTGCTTGACCGGAATGGAGAAGTCCACTTCCACGTGGAGCGGATCCTCCAGGAGCAACGGTGTCGCGGGAAGCGACAGCTCCTCGTGAAGTGGAGGGGTTATGCCCACTCCGAGAACTCGTGGGAGCCGATTGAACGGCTCCTGATTGACTGCCCGAAGGCTGTCGCAATCTGGGAACAGAAGCGGCGGCAGCTTCATAAGTAGTCCGGGGCTTCTTGCCCGAACGGGGTACGGATGATGAATACATACCGTACCCGCGCTCATCGTGAGCGCTAGAAGCCGCGCGCTTCAGGATGTCCCTTGGCAGCATACGCTTGCTGATCAAGTGGGCAAACCTCACACGAAGATCACGCTGGTCCAGGATGTGGGACAGCTGCTGATCTTCATGGAGTTCCCATAACTCCGTGGGCGAGTACTTGAGAGTCTCCACCCACGCCCAGAACATGTCCTCACAAGAACTCCATGTGGGACAGTTCTCGGGCATAACCCAGGGGTATCCCCAAACAGGATAGAGACCACCCCGGGTCTCGGGCTTCTTACGACAAGTCGTGAAGTCCTTAAGGGGAATGCGGTGTGGCGCGAGAAGCACACACCGAGCAGCCTCCACGTTGTCGACGAACAACTGTTCTTTCTGAACAAGGGCTCGTTCATAGATGCCCCTAGAAGTGTGGCCGCCCACAAGGCCACGAGGAGCGACAAGAAGCTCTAAGAAGGG